TAACAGCTGTGTTGTGTGTGCAGAGAAAGCCGTGTTTCGTCCCAGCGACGAGGCCGTCTTCACCACGCTGGGAGTCAACACTCACCTGTTCGCCTGCGAACCCTCCGAGCTCGACTCGCTGGTGAGGATCTGATTGGTTCGTGGTTGTCATTGAAACAAAGGTTACCCAAACATGCATCCAGCTGCACACGTGCACCTGATTCCTGTGGGTTAGGGTTTCTGCAGAGCTTTAACTTTGCTGCTATCACCTGATGTCTAACCGACCAATCAGGACGCAGTAGCAGCTTGCGGTCTCACTCCCTCTCTCACATCTTCTGGGATTCTGATGAGATCATTTCCTGTTTCCTCAGCTTCCTCTTCCTGAGGAGATCCACTGGACGCCGGGCGACAGTAAACTCCACGACATGTCGGCAGAGGAGGTGGCCAATCAGCTGGTGGTGTTCGACTGGGAGCTCTTCAGCTGCGTGCACGAGGTCAGAGTGCACCGCAGGGTTTGAAGGCTGTTCTGTCTCAGTGACGCAGCTCCAGCCCACAAACGAACGCACGTCTTCTTCGTTGGTGTCTCCTGCAGGTGGAGTTCGTGTGTTACGTGTTCCACGGAGAGCAGTCGCGCTGGCGCCCCCTGAACCTGGAGCTGGTACTGCAGCGGTGCAGCGAGGTGCAGCACTGGGTCGCCACGGAGATCCTGCAGTGTCAGTCGCTGCCGAAGAGGATCCAGCTGCTCCGCAAGTTCATCAAGATCGCAGCGCTGTGAGTCCACGCACGAACACGCCGCGCACACGCACAAAGCTGAGTTAATGAGGGGACTCAGGAGAGGGGCGGCGCTCCCTGAGATCACGAGGCAGTCCGCTCTTCTTCTTCTGTGGTTTAAAGATGAGCGTCTTCTTCTGTGTTTCAGCTGTAAGCAGCAGCAGGACCTGCTGTCCTTCCTCGCCGTGGTTCTGGGTCTGGACAACCCGGCCGTCAGCAGGCTGAGGCTCACCTGGGAGGTAGGACGCCGTGTGTCCTCCAGCAGAGGTGTTGGAGCTGCGCAGACCTGAAGGGGGCGCTGCAGGAAACACTTTACAGGCTGACCTCTGCAACGTGACGATTGATTGCAACCAGAGGTTACCACGGTGACCCTGTGGTAACCTCTGGTTGCTTTGGTAACATGTTTGCAGAGCGGTGGCGAGTGGTTGCTGTGCTTTACACGAAGGACTCCAACTTTTCTGCAACCGTTTGTGAAGCGGTGGAAAAGTTGTGCCTTCCCACTACAACCAGCAACGTCCTGTTAGCACTCATTAGGAAACTTTGCAGCGCCTTCTGTCCGACCGACTCCCTGCCGTTTGTCCGTGTTTCACTCGTCGCGCTGATAGATGTGTGTCCGTCAGTGTGTCACTGCTGTCCTCTCTTTGCAGGGTCTGCCGGGGAAGTTCAGGAAGCAGTTTCAGCAGTTTGAAAGCATCGCGGTGAGTCACACGTTTTTATCTCTAATGCTTTCTGACCCGATGAACGATGGCGCTCTGACCGTCACGCTGTCCCACAGGACCCGTCCAGGAACCACAAGTCCTACAGAGACCTGATCACCAGCCTGAGGCCTCCGCTGATCCCCTTCACTCCTCTGCTGCTCAAAGGTGAGCCTGCACGCCGACATCAGCACGTTACAGGCGTGGCAGCAGCGTCTGCTTCAGTAGCGCTGAGCTAACTACTGATGAATCACTACAGGCTGAATCTGTGAAACTGAGGAAAGCTGAAAATCAGGAGGTCAAACCTTCTGGAAGTCTTCAGTATTCCCGTTCTCGGACTCAGCGCGGACTCCGAGATATCAAAGCATTTTTAATGGAGGTGCAGAAACCCCGGAGACGCTTTTCTTCTTTAGTGTTCAGTTTGGTTTGTTTCCCTCTGCTGATGAAACTCGCTGCAGCTTTCTCCTGGAAACATCAGCGCGAGGTAAACACAGCAGGTCCACCAGCTCACTCATCGATCGTCCATAAATCGCTCTGATTGGTCCTCTGAGACTCGCACGCCTCCAGCTGTGA